ATGCACATAGGGAAAATCAATGACCCCCTGAGGCGGGGCAAATTTTGACCCCAGGGCTTTTATTTGAACAAACTTGGTAGACACCTATTAGAACATGTTTGATGCTCAATATCTTAGCCATAGCTCTTTGAGTTCTTTAAAAGAAGATTTTTTAAGTTTTTACTATATGCATATGGGGAAAATCAATGACCCCCCCGGGGCTGGGCCAATTTTGACCCCAGGGCTTTTATTTGAACAAACTCGGTAGACACCCATTAGAGCATGTTTCATGCTAAATATCTTAGCTCTAGCTCTTTGGGTTCTTTAAAAGAAGATTTTTTAATTTTTTACTATATGCATATAGGGAAAATCAATGACACCCCGGGGCGGGCCAATTTTGACCCCAGGGCTTTTATTTGAACAAACTTGGTAGACACTCACTAGAAGATGTTTCATGCCAAATATCTAAGCTCTAGCTCTTATGGTTTTTTAAAAGAAGATATTTAAAGTTTTTTCTTTCGGTTGCCATGGCAACCAGAGTTCTGCATGGAATTAAATTCTTTGAACAATTTTTAAAGGTGACCACCAAAGGAACATTCCTGTGAAGTTTGGATGAAATTGGCTTAGCGGTTTATGAGGAGATGTCATTTAAAGTAAAAGTTTACGGACGGACGCCGGACGGCCGGACGCCGGACGAAAAGCGATCACAAAAGCTCACCCTGTCACTTTGTGACAGGTGAGCTAAAAATTGCTGGCTGCGTGTGTTCAAAACTTAAATTCGTATAAAATAAATCACTTAACTAACAGCAGTATTACATATAATTTCTAAATTTTCATGAAAAATTGTATGAATTGGAGGAAACGTGTTGCTTTTATGTGTTCAAAGCATTTTGTATTTAATTGTTATAATAACTCTTCAATACGTCATTTCTTTCTATTCTAGGAAAATGATTGATTAATCATAAAATGCCAGATGTTTCGAATATGTGATTGAATAACGTTGATATTTTAAACAGAATTTTGCATAAAATTCATTTGTACATTACTATAGCGTCAATCTTGACACACATCTTTTATTGTTTCAAAAACATTAAAGCACATTATGCCTCCGAAATCAATAATTTTTCAATTCTTTAGAAAGGTCTGATATGTGTTTTATATTATTTTGATATTGAATTTAGAGCATCTTAAATGTTTGACAATGGCAGAAAGTAGTATTGGTTGTATATAAGTACCAAAATGTAAACAAAGTGCTATTTTGACTTCCATACAAAATATGTACTCTGTATAATTACACAAGTTGCCAAAGAGCAAAAGAAGCGAAAGATAATTAATCTATCTAGCCAAAGAGTGTTTTTTTTTGGAAACTGTAAAAAGATACCAACTAGAACTATCGCTGAATGCGATTCATACCCCCACCAATTAATGTCCTTGACAGAAGACGACTTGGAAAGGTGGTTAAAGGAATAACTTAAGTGGCACAAATACATAAAAGAAATTATCTCTGGTGAAAAAAAGACTAATTGTACAGGTAATAGTATAAATATATATTATCAAATCATGTTCGAAACAGTCATTTTCCCAATGTACTTAACATTTTATAAGTCAATTTTTGACCTTCAAGTGTGGCCTTGACCTTAAGCTGGCACAAGGGTAAGATGGGTTTTGCATATCGCCCAGTTGGGGTGAACATTTAAGTAAAGTTTAAAGAAAATCCTTCCATTAGTATAGAATTTATAGAGCGGACACAACATATTGTCTAGTATTGAATGTATGTAAATTTAAAGACTTAAAAAGGGGCATAACTTTGTCAAAATGCAATACAGAGTTATGAAACTTGACCTGCATATCTTATTCGTGACACCTCATATATCTTTTAAGTTTCAAGCAAATATCTGTGCTAGTTTCAGTACATTTTAAGATTTAAGAACATTTTTTTTAAGTCAATTTTTGACCTTCAAGTGTGACCTTGACCTTTAGCCGGCACAAAGGTGACATGGATTCTGCACATAACCTTGTTGAGGTGAACATTTGAGTAAAGTTTGAAGAAAATTCTTCCATTAGTATAGGATTTATAGAGGGGACACGACATATTGTCTAATATTTGATTGTATGTAAATTTGAAGACTTAAAAAGAGGCATAACTTTGTTAAAATGCAATACAGAGTTATGAAACTTGACCAGCAAATCTTAATTGTGACACTTCAAATATATTTTAAGTTTCAAACAAATACCTTTTCTAGATCTGTAGATTCAGAAATATTCAAACTAGAGGATGCTTTTGTAAAAAAGCGCATGTCTCCCCCACTGCAACGGTCGCTGTGACCTTGACCTTTGACCTACTGACCATTAAAACAATAGGGATCATTTGATTAATAAGACCAATCATCCTATGAAGTTTGAGGGTTGTAGGTCAAAAGGAACTCTAGTTATCATCCGGAAATGAGAAATTGACCAACGGTCACTGTGACCTTGACCTTTGACCTACTGACCCCAAAAACAATAGGGATCATCTGCTCAATAAGACTAATCATCCTATGAAGTTTGAGGGTTGTAGGTCAAAAGGAACTCTAGTTATCATCCGGAAATGAGAATTGACCAACGGTCAGTGTGACCTTGACCTTTGACCTACTGACCCCAAAAACAATAGGGATCATCTGCTCAATAAGACCAATCATCCTATGAAGTTTGAGGTCTGTAGGTCTTAAGGAACTCTAGTTATCATCCGGAAACGAGAAATTGACCAACGGTCAGTGTGACCTTGACCTTTGACCTACTGACCCCAAAAACAATACGGATCATCAGCTCTATAAGACCAATCATCCTATGAAGTTTGAGGGCTGTAGGTCAAAAAGAACTCTAGTTATCATCCGGAAACGAGAAATTGACCAACGGTCACTGTGACCTTGACCTTTGAACTACTGACCCCAAAAACAATAGGGATCATCAGCTCTATAAGACCAATCATCCTATGAAGTTTGAGGGCTGTAGGTCAAAAGGAACTCTAGTTATCATCCGGAAACAAGAAATTGACCAACGGTCACTGTGACCTTGACCTTTGAACTACTGACCCCAAAAACAACAGGGATCATCTGCTCAATAAGACCATTCATCCTATGAAGTTTGAGAGCTGTAGGTCAAAAGGAACTCTAGTTATCGTCCGGAAACGAAGAATGGACGGACGGACTGACGGACGGACGGACTGACGGACGGACAGGGCAAAAACAATATGTCTCCCCCCGAGGTGGGGGAGACATAATAAATGTTAAAGTCAATTTTTGACCTTCAAGTGTGACCTTGACCTTAAGCTGGCAAAAGGTTGACATGGGTTCTGCACATTACCTTGCTGAGGTAAACATTTGAGCCAAGATTGAAGAAAATTCTTCAAATAGTGTAGGACTTACAGAGCGGACACGACATACTGTGTAATATTTGCTTGTTTGATATTTGACCTTCAATTGTGACCTTGACCTTGAGCTGACACATGGGTAACATGGGTCCTGCACATCCCCTTGTTGAGGTGAACATTTGAGCCAAGTTTAAAGAAAATCTTTCAATTAGTGTAGGACTTACAGAGCGGACACGACATATTGTGTAATATTTGATTGTTTGATATTTGACCTTCAATTGTGACCTTGACCTTAAGCTGACACATGGGCAACATGGGTTCTGCACATCCCCTTGTTGAGGTAAACATTTGAGCAAAAATTGAAGAAAATCCTTCAATTGTTATAGGAGTTGTAGAGTGGACACGAAAATGGAGACGGTCGGACGGACCGACAGACGGACGCAACAAAGCGAATCCATTATAGCCCCCCCCCCCCCCCCACATTTTGTGATGGGGGTATAAAAATAAAGAAAATGAAAAGGTAGAATTTATAATGGCAACAATTGTCAATGTTTTGTTTTGTCATAGAGCTATCTATTGGCTTTGTCTATAACATTAAGAGCTTCCATTAAGTTTCTTTTTTCAATATCATTTCTTGTAAATCAAGGCAACAAAAATAGGGTCAAATTTTAAGACAGAAAAGGCCAGGTTGCATTTGTATACCAAATATCATGAGGCTGTGATGTTACAAAAATTGTTTACCATTGACCATTAATGTCGAAAATTTAACACATGTGCAACCCGGCCAATAAAAACAACATTAACAATAAAGGGTTCAAAGTCATCAATTTATCTACTGTTGTCATGGATGGATCTAACACTAATGATTTTGTATAAAATGTATGCTAATTTAAAAAAACAAACAATTATATTACAAATTTCTAAAACGTGCAGTGTTAAAGATATATACTATGCTCAAATTTGTTATTAGAAAATATTGAGAATTGGTTCACAGTCTCTTGGTAAATATGAAACAAACTTGTTTTGACACAAAGTAGTTGACCTGTAATAGGGCAGGCAGCTTCCCATATATAGTTTATTCATTTTTTTTATCCAAATAAGACATATTCAGTAAGAATTTCATAGATTTTAATAAATTTCTGAGATCACAATATTTCTCAAGGATGAGCATGGTATATCTTTAATAAGGTTAACACAATTACATGTTAATGTTATTTTTGTGTTGTTTTTTTTCTTGATTTTATTCTGCCTAGTGTCATCAGTGATGATTCTTGGTTTGATAATTTTGATTATCTGCTAACCTAAATGGACATTGGACCACACATTTGAATGTTTACATAGCAGAATGTACTACAAAGTATAGCATGAATAATGGAGACAAAAACTTTTATATCTTCATACCAGATTTTAATAATTTTAAAGAAATCATAGAATAAAGCTACCAGTGTATGACACGAACATTATACAACTAATACAAAACAAATAGACCACTACCAAACAAACATACATGTACATTTTACATAAACAACAAAAACAAGAACTTAGATTTTATTTAAATCAATGGAACAGTGAGATATAGAGAATGTTTGTTAGATTTGCATGAAAGATCGAAATATATTTCACTCAGTGGACACCAGATGCAATATTTTCATGAGTGGCATAGCCATGAGTGAAAATATAATAGCTGGTGTTCACAAGTGAAATGTATATCAATCTGAAATGAAAAACAAACAAAATTTTCTTTTTATTTCATGCTTTTTTCTAGTGATTTAAGTTATTTTTACTTGTTTTGCCACATGATATCATGCGTTCTTCTTAATGATGTCATCACATCATGACATCACCATACCAATAATGAAATTTAGTTCAGTAAAATTTCTTGAATTTTGTTACATTTTTAAAACAAATGTATGCAGTCATTACTTGCTTCTCCTATGGAAACATAATTATCATACGACGAAATTTATTCCGGTTAAAAATTCCATTTAGTTATGAAATATTATTTTCATCCGGATTCAAATATAGTCCAGCTACAGTGAAAATTATGAAATATATTTTCACTGTGAAAATTATCAAATATAAATTCCCTTTCCACTGCAAAGCATGCGATAAAGAGTCTATAATAATCACCGTGACATGGTATATCTCTCGTTCATTTTGATAATCTAAACTTCCATCAATAGTTAAAGGCACATTATGACTCAGAAATTCATAAAAAATTCAAATTCTTTAAAAATATCAAACATGTGCTTTATAATGTTTTATTAATAGATCTATAAAGTATGATAGATGTTTTACAAATGAACATGGAAGTAGCGCTGAACATGCAGTTGTAAAGTTAGCAAAATGCAAACAAAGTAGTATTTTGACTTCCATACAAAATATTTATTCACTTTAAATATACAAATAGCCAACAGTCAGCTAAAGATAAAAGATATGTGGTAAAGAAAACTGTAACAAGATACCAAAAATAAATCGTTTTTGAAAAATAAAAGTGATGCATTTCTGAGGCAAAATGGGCCTTTAAAATAAATAAAAGAATATCTATGTTTAATGAAATCAATATCAACCCTATTTCTAAGGTACACTTAGTCATGATAAAAAAAATATTTCAAACTCATTTTCTCAGGATTCAACTCCTATTCACATTTAAAATATTTTATCAAACATATCATTAAAACTTCAGCTGTATGAAATGACATTGTGTATTATTTTGGTCCTTATATATATAACTTCCCAAAATTTGAGTAGTAGATGTCAACAATTACATGAACCAAGTCTATTCCATGGCTGCCATGATGGCAGATATACAATTACGTTACGTCTATACTTTGATTTTTTCACTTGGACTTGCAAAATTAACTTGGCTCCATATCATCATATGCCTTTAAGTTTCACTCAAAATTGGCATTTCTCTATATTAAAACTTCAATCTGACAAAAGGTCCATGACTAATATAAAAGGACCTGAACACAATTTTGATATTATATTTCAATGCGTCTTAAACATGCTTTACATGAAGTCACTCCTTCTTGTCTGTGGCTATTCTATTCTGTAACATTCGTACTTCTGGTTCGTATCTGTCTACACACAATGTACCGTTCTCGTCAAAAAATTCTGCGACGGATTTTGTGATTTTACCGCTACGAGATTTTCTAGTGCTGCCATCTATAAAGTTCATGCTGAGAGTGTACTTGTCATCATATCTAAGGAAGAAAAATCTACAGAATTATACATGATCTCATACATCGCACCAACACTGTAAGGGTCATATGCCGACTTTCCAGCTTTACTGGTGCAGAAAGACCTTCAGTGCATTATTTCAGCTCGCAGATAGATTTCGAAATGCACGAAAAATACTAGTAGAGGTTCTTTATGCACGAAAAATACTAGTAGAGGTTCTTTATGCACGAAAAATACTAGTAGAGGTTTTTTATGCACGAAAAATACTAGTAGAGGTTCTTTATGCACGAAAAATACTAGTAGAGGTTTTTTATGCACGAAAAATACTAGTAGAGGTTCTTTATGCACGAAAAATACTAGTAGAGATTTTTTATGCACGAAAAATACTAGTAGAGGTTCTTTATGCACGAAAAATACTAGAAGAGGTTCTTTATGCACGAAAAATACTAGTAGAGGTTCTTTATGCACGAAAAAATACTAGTAGAGGTTCTTTATGCACGAAATATTACTAGTAGAGGTTCTTTATGCACGAAAAAATACTAGTAGAGGTTCTTTTATGCACGAAAAATACTAGTAGAGGTTCTTTATGCACGAAAAATACTAGTAGAGGTTCTTTATGCACAAAAAAATACTAGTAGAGGTTCTTTATGCACGAAAAATACTAGTAGAGGTTTTTTTATGCACAAAAAATACTAGTAGAGGTTCTTTATGCACGAAAATACTAGTAGAGGTTTTTTATGCACGAAAAATACTAGTAGAGGTTCTTTATGCACGAAAAATACTAGTAGAGGTTTTTTATGCACGAAAAAATACTAGTAGAGGTTCTTTATGCACGAAAAATACTAGTAGAGGTTCTTTATGCACGAAAAATACTAGTAGAGGTTTTTTATGCACGAAAAATACTAGTAGAGGTTCTTTATGCACGAAAAATACTAGTAGAGGTTTTTTATGCACGAAAAAATACTAGTAGAGGTTCTTTATGCACGAAAAATACTAGTAGAGATTTTTTATGCACGAAAAATACTAGTAGAGGTTCTTTATGCACGAAAAATACTAGAAGAGGTTCTTTATGCACGAAAAAATACTAGTAGAGGTTCTTTATGCACGAAAAATACTAGTAGAGGTTCTTTATGCACGAAATATACTAGTAGAGGTTCTTTATGCACGAAAAATACTAGTAGAGGTTCTTTATGCACGAAAAATACTAGTAGAGGTTCTTTATGCACGAAAAATACTAGTAGAGGTTCTTTATGCACAAAAAATACTAGTAGAGGTTCTTTATGCACGAAAAATACTAGTAGAGGTTTTTTATGCACAAAAAATACTAGTAGAGGTTCTTTATGCACGAAAAAAATACTAGTAGAGGTTTTTTATGCACGAAAAATACTAGTAGAGGTTCTTTATGCACGAAAAATACTAGTAGAGGTTTTTTATGCACGAAAAATACTAGTAGAGGTTCTTTATGCACGAAAAATACTAGTAGAGGTTCTTTATGCACGAAAAATACTAGTAGAGGTTTTTTATGCACGAAAAATACTAGTAGAGGTTTTTTATATGCACGAAAAATACTAGTAGAGGTTCTTTATGCACGAAAAATACTAGTAGAGGTTTTTTATGCACGAAAAATACTAGTACAGATACTTTTTGCACATGAAAACAAGCTAAACAAGAACTATAGAAAATAATTGTACAATCACATGGTGAAAGGATTCAGTCAATGAGTCAGTGAATTACCTGAAACTGGAAATAACTGATTTACAGATGTTTTTATTTATAATACATGTATTTATAGTTAAATTATGGTTGTTTTCTTGTGTACAATGGAAGACTCCTCTATGTTTTGATCATAACAAACTCTAATTTAAAACACAAACAAGTATTTGCCAATTAATTGACCAAAAGATAATTTTAGTTAACTTTTCTGTAAACACCTAATTTAAACAAATATCAAGTCAGAAGAAGGAACTTAATTTTAAGTTTCCCTATACTAAGGGTTATTATGAACTTACTTTTTCAGTACAGATGAAAGTTCCCATCTGTTATCAGGATCCACACCTGCCCTGTCTTTATCCAACGCCACCAGGAATATCCCTTTCTCCTTGTATGTTGTGTACACTGTCAACACACCCATTAGGAAAAAATATCTGCATTTGTGTTAAGGGAAATACAGAACAGGAAAATTGCATACCTAATTTACTAGTAACTTGAGCATTAGTGGTTACCAGGAAATAATAAAGTTTTATTATGTAAACCCATAACCTGCTGAATTTCTTTAATTGACTAGTCCTGCTACTGTCCACTGTATTAGTCAGCCAACCGTATAAATGCAGGTCAGACTGCATGGTCACATAAATAAATTCAGCAAATTGTAAAATGGTGTGAGCAATAAAGTATACCTTAATTAAATACAATTTAATACATTTGATACAATTTCTCACATATATAAATAGAAATTTCTGAGCCAGATTTATCATATTTCACCTGAATTACTTAATAAGTTTTAATAATTATGGCTTAAATTACCATTTTAGCTGTGTTACAATAGACTTACTTCATAATTAAAAGAATGTTGGGTGTTCCCAGCTAATCTGGGATACATTCAAACTTTTACAGGTACAGCTTCGAAGATAATTGTGCAGTTTCAAAAATTTATCATCAACGATAGTGCACTGTGAAGCTTAAACTGTAAAAATTTGTTTGTACCTCCGGATTAGCTTGGAAAAACATATATTTACCGAGTTTCAGATAACAACTATAAAAGGCCTGGTTTCATTATACTAATGACAAAAGCTGTCACAGGAGACAGTGAAGCTTGACTAATAAAATACTGGACGCAATAAGGAAGACAAAACTATGAAAGAACAAGAGCCATGTCAACATGGCCATCCCCCGCCAAAATGTGTTTGCTCATTGGAAGAATGTATATGTAGTAGAGCAGAATAATTCCATTTTAAGAGGTCTTTTGGTAATGAAAACTGATGGCTATAGTGATTACAGATTTGAAACCTATGTGAATACTGATGGCTGAAAATAGCAAAGGGCAATAACTGAAAAATAATGTAGGGTAGGTTATCATCCTTGTGTGCTGCATCCCTCCTCAGTAAAATCTATCCACCTATGAAGTTTCAAGTTGATACCTCAAATACTTTTTGAAAAAAAAATGAATTGAAAAATTAAGTATGAAAAATAACAAAGGGCAATAACTCAAAAATTATAAAAGGTACAGTTATCATTCATGTGCAGTGCACACCTCCTGAGTGAGATCTATGCACCTGTGAAGTTTCATTTTGATATCTCAAAGGCTTTTTGAGTTATGCTCTGGACAAAAATTAATTTTGAAAAATAACAAAGGGCAATAACTCAAAAATAATGCAGGGCAGAGTTATCATTCTTTAGCACTGCACTCCTCCTCAATGAGATCCATCCACCTATGAAGTTTCAAGATGATACCTCAAATACTTTTTCAGATAAGCTCTGGACAAAATAGCATGAAAAAAAAACAACAAAGGGCAATAACTCAAAAATTGTATAGGGAAGAGTTATCATTCTTGCGCACAACATTTCTCCTCAATAAGATCTATCCTTCTATGACATTTCATGTTGATATCTCAAACACTTTTTGAGTTATGCTCCACTCAGGTGAAAAATTAGGTATGAAAAATAACAAAGGGCAATAACTCAAAAATTATGAAAGGAAGAGTTATCATTCTTGTGCACTGCACACCTCCTGAGTGAGATCTATGCACCTATGAAGTTTCATGTTAATATCTCATAGGCTTTTGGAGTTATGCTCTGGACAAAAATCAATTTTGAAAAATAACAAAGGGCAATAACTCAAAAATCCTGCATGGTAGAGTTATCATTCTTGTGCACTGCACTCCTCCTCAATGAGGTCTATCTACCTATGAAGTTTCAAGTTGATAACTCAAATACTTTTAGAGATATGCTCCGGACAAAAATTTCGGACGGAAGGACGGACGGACGGAAGGTCGGACGGACGGAGACTATTACTATATCCTCCGCCGAAAATTTTCGGCGGGGGATAAAAATCAATTATGTATAATTATGTCTTAAGTTAAAGTAAAAAAATAACATTTGTTTACATAAATTCCAAGTTCAAGGGGAAATAATTCTGGAAATAGTCAAGCTAGAGTTATGAACCTTGTCACAAAACATGTTTGTATTGATAAGAAATATGTAATTGAAGTTTGAAGTAGATACCTTAAAAAGTAAAAAAGTTATAATATTTCTTAAAGAAAATCCTAAGTTCAAAGAAAGATAAATCTGAAAATATTGCTTCAAGAGTTATGAACCTCGTGATATAAGATGTAATTGATGATCAGGAATAAGTATTTGAAGTTTGAGGTAGATACCTTTAAAACTAATGAAGTTATAGCAAAAATAACATTTTATAAGTAAAAAAATCTAAATTTATGGGGAGATTATTCTTGCAATATTGGTGCTAGAGTTATGAACCTTGTCACACAACATGTGGTTAATGATAAGGAACATAATTATATTTAAAGTATGAAGGTGATCCCTTCAGAAATAAATAAGTAACAGTAAAAATATTTTTTACGGAAAATTCTAAGTTCAAGGGGAGATAAATCTGAAAATATTGGTGCTAGAGCTATGAACCTTGTCACATAAGATGAGGTTGATGATAAGGAACATATATTTGAAGTATGAAGTTGATCTCTTAAGAAGAAATAAAAACATTGTAAGTAACAGTAAAAAATAATATTTATAAGGAAAATTTTAAGTTCAACGGGAAATAAATCTGAAAATAGTGGTGCTAGAGTTATGAACCTTGGCACATAAGATGTGGTTAATGATATGGAACATATATTTGAAGTATGAAGTTGATCCCTTAAGAAATAACAGTAAAAAATAGTATTTTTAAGGAAAATTCTAAGTTCAAGGGGAGATAAATCTGAAAATATTGGTGCTAGAGTTATGAACCTTGTCACATAAGATGTGGTTGATGATAAGGAATATATATTTGAAGTATGAAGTTGATCCCTTAAGAAATAAAGAAGTAACAGTAAAAAATAGTATTTTTTAAGGAAAATTCTAAGTTCAAGGGGAGATAAATCTGAAAATATTGGTACTAGAGTTATGAACTTTGTCACATAAGATGTGGTTGATGATAAGGAATATATATTTGAAGTATGAAGTTGATCCCTTAAGAAATAAAGAAGTAACAGTAAAAAATAATATTTTTTAAGGAAAATTCTAAGTTCAAGGGGAGATAAATCTGAAAATATTGGTGCTAGAGTTATGAACCTTGTCACATAAGATGTTGTTGATGATAAGGAATATATATTTGAAGTATGAAGTTGATCCCTTAAGAAATAAAGAAGTAACAGTAAAAAATAGTATTTTTTAAGGAAAATTCTAAGTTCAAGGGGGGATAAATCTGAAAATATTGGTAGTAGAGTTATAATCTTTGTCACATAAGATGCAGTTGATGATAAGGAACATATATTTGAAGTTTTAAGTTGATACCTTAAGAAATGAAAAAGTAATAGTGAAAAATATTTTACTGCACCAAAAATTTAATCTGAAATCTGGACGCGAACGCCGACGCCAGGGTGAGTAGGACAGCTCTCCATATACTTCATATAGTCAAGCTCAAAAGGATACGATAAGACACACACTATTAGTACTGGTCGTGATTCTGGGAATGGGTTGAAGTAGTCCCATATCAGGGCAAACATTGCAAACCCTACAGCTATCGTACATATAAACAGTCGACCATCCATCAATGAGTGACTCTCCTTGAAGCCAAACTTGTCCAACATCACCTGTAATTATTTTATGGTCACATTATCAATTGTAACATTGTCAAAATTAATTAGTTGCTATTTTTTAATAGATGTTACCCAGAACTTGGCAAATGTGAGTTTTTCCCCATCTAATCTTGGGGTAAAAACAAACTTATACTTTTTTAGCTTCTCAGTGCCCTATAATTCAATATTTTACACTTATTATCAATATATTTACGAAGCTGTAAAAGTTTGTTTGGGATTGAGACTGGAAAAATTAACATTTGCCAAGTTCCTGGGTATCTCTATTAGCAAGTAAAACATTTGTTGCAGAAATACAATTTCCAAATGTACAATAATTATATTGAAACAAATGAATTATTTTTTGCTATATACAGAGGCCCTTTATATAGTTAACCTCAGCTATTCTCAGTGTTTAATTCTTTTTGAACAAGTGCCATGCAGACATCTTCTTATTTCAATAATTCAGTGAATCAATGTAGGAGTTATGAGTCACTGGTAAAGAGACCCACAATTATGACTGGAAAGGTATGCGTTAAATTTCAAATGAATATTTTCTCAAACTTGCATACAAAACCATAGCCAGGATTTTATTATAAACTTTACTTTGGTGGTTAATAGGATAGAAAGATGCACATAAAAACTACAAACATCATTTCAGATACCAGGGTGAATAAGATAGCCCTGTTATTTTTAGAATATTGTAGCTAAAAATCTCCGAGCAAAATAATTGCATACTAAATTCTACTGACTTAATTTCATTTTAATTAAATGTTTGTTATATATTTTTTCCTACAAGAAAAGTTGAAATCCAACTCAACTGTTCACAAAAAGGCAATGAATCTAAGAATACAATGCCATCAACATTCAAGGATTATATATACCTGTACATTTAAATGGAAATTATAATATTTCTATATAAAAATAAAATTCCCATGATTCATCCATCTCAGAAAACAGAAACCTTAAGTCTTGGCATTACAAGATACATATATGTACATGTTATATTAAATTCCCCTATATCAGGAACAGCACACTGTCTGGCATATTTCCTTGTTGATATTAGCTATTAGGTAATTCAATATCAACAAACAATAATGGGAAACAGCTTTTTAGCAGCATATCACAAGGCATTGTGTTTATATCAAACTGAAAAGGAATTCAATTTTGTTTGTCCTTTTCACTGAAATAGAGAAATACAGGATCCCTAAAGAAAGCCCAACACGACAACATTGAAAATGTTGCAGGCTCGGTTTGATTGAGCCTACTATTCATGGACGGTAATAGAAAGTTACCGTCCACGCCCCCTAGCACCGGCTTAAGCAGAATTCAACATTTAACACAAAAATGGTAAAATTTTGAATTTAGAAACATCCGCAGATGTGTTCATACGGCGGTTATCATGGAACCTTCAATGTGACACAGTAGTGAAAAGCGGCGTATGGTCCCCAAGTAAAAGAATGTTTGTGCCCTAAACGAGAAAACAATGGGCGGAACTAAATAAAATGGAATTTTGAAAGGGGATCTGAGGTTATGAAGCCTGCATATCACAGATAAGACTTCAAAAGACAAATTTAAAAAGCAGGCAACATAACCTAAGGGTGATTATACATTATTCAAGTAGGAATACTGGAACCACCAAAGTTGAAATAGGCCAAATAGAAGAAACTAAAAGTACCACATAACATGTATACACAACAATAATGTCGTGCTGAACGATCTTCAAGGATCACAAATATAACATCATTGATAAAATGTACGGGGAGACTTTTTACAGCCGCCACACGGCACAAATAACACGGATGTGACAATGAAATAGAGAAATACAGAATCCCTAAAGAAAGCCTAAAGAAAGAGAGCCAAAAATGGTGCATATTTTAAACCTTTTTGTCCAACTTGGTGAAATAATTATTGTCAATTACTATTTTACAATGTAAATGTAGTTTTAAGGGAGTATGGTTCGAAAGTGGACACATGATTAAAACCATTTAAGTCCAACTTGTTAACTAACACATTTTCAATATTTCCATATATTATGTTACATTATCAGTAATGAAAAAATATTTTTTTTTCATCATTTCTTCCTCATTTATTTATAAAGTCAAACTTGTCATATGCGAATTTCCACAGGTTCATCCGAGATGAGATATAATGGTGTAAAAACACAGTCAGGGCCAAAACACCATTTTTGGGGAAGGGTCACCTCGGGAAAATATGCATGATTTTGGCATACAAATGTACTTTGGGAAAAGGGGTCTCAAATTTAACACAAACTTTTAACAAGTTCTTTAAAATAGAAAAGCAAAAAGCTCTGGGAAATACTTATAACAGAATAAGGCAGTAAAAGACCTTAATTCAACACCATCATTCAATTTTGTTCTAAATTCTATGGGAAATTTCAAAAGACTGGGGAATTTTGAGGACCAAACTGGGGAAAAAAGAGAGGCTAGATTTGTTGGGGAAGCAGCCTATATTCGGCCTCTAAAAAGAAGGGTGTTTTTTGGCCCTGACAATGCTCTTTTTTTGTATATAATTGACTGTGAAAATGCGTAATTCAGCCATGTAATTGTGACAGGATGCAAGAATTATTTTGTTAGTCCCAACAGACATGCACCCAGTTAAATTTGGTGTCTTTATACAGTAATTTAGGTCTGAAAGTTTAAGATAGGGTCGTTTATGACAGGAAGTTGTTCATTTCAGTAAGTCGCTATGAAAATGTTGACAGTATTCGACACGTTATTCCTTAAAAGAGCATTACAGGAGAAGCTTTACCTATTTTTGCAGTAGTCATGTTATCCATAATTCATGTTGCTATAAATAAACATCAAGCCCTTTTTACCTTTTAAAATATATTCTCTACAGTACCAAATGGTCTATATGAAATGAATTGCACAAAATTTACCTCTTCATTATGTGAATTTGTATTACCATGCCAAAATGCTTTTCCCTATGAATACAGATGTTAAGTATATTATAAAATTCCTCATTCAATGGTTTGCATTGATTATTTTTTTCATCAAACAAACAGCACATGGTAAATATTTTTGATATGCCTTCATCATACATGAAACATAAATTATTGGAATCAATGACCCGAAGGACAAGAGAATCCTATTTCTCACTTCAAGACAAACTTATCTACTGAATGTATGAATTTCAATTAATATTCAAAATAACAATAACACCAAACCCAGAGATCTGCCAAGAATTTGAAAGTACTGGGCCCTGGGCCCACTTGGTCTGAAAATGATGGGCCATTTTTACCAAAGTATGGGCCTTGGGAAAATAAGTAAACATTGACCAAAATAACTGTTAAAAAGTTTGTAGATACATGTAATTAAATTTCCCCGGTAATAAAACATAAATCATATTTTATGACAAGTGGTTCACTTATAATTCAGTACTTTACCAATAATTAAAAATTATGCCTACATGGTAACTTTCTAACTAATATTAATTGCAGGCAAAAATGAAAATATTTTTTTAATGGCTGCTCAAAAATTTGATATGCAAATTTATTCACATAATTGCTGGTTCTTACTTGTAATGTCTTATATTGTGCATTATCCATTTAATTGTTCCTACTTTGCACCAAATGTCCCTTACCAATGTATATTAACGAATTTTATTGCCCCTTGTATGCCTCTGTGTAGACAGCATACATCAAAGACATTTGCCGACAGACCTTTTGATCATGAAAAAAGTCATGCACAATGTTTCTCTGATTGGTTAATCACCCTGTCAAACATTCTGATGATGAAATATACATCTTTTTTTACACTTCATCAGCCAAAACTTGCGTGAACTTGAGTGACCTTAGGGTTGATCAAATTGAACACCTGTCAGATTATACTGTAACTTACAGCATTTCTTAAAATAGCAACACTTTTTTTTCAGTTACCGATAATCATTTTAAATATTAAGTAGTTGTATAATTTGTTTGTTTGTTTTATTGGATTAAATTTACGGTAGTAGAAATGAGTATCTGTGTGGGAAAGGGATTATGACTATGAGAAGAAATGCGGTAAGTAGATAACATGGACAAAAGCTATAGGGGAATGGATAAACTAAAGAATATGCGTAATTACAGGAGCATGGGTAACATGTTGCTGTTGGTACCAATTTTGACTGGATGACTAAATAACCCAGCAGACAGTTTTGTTTTCTTATAAGTCTGGCACAGATTTTAGACGCGCCCATGGCCCTTTGCTGCTGATTTTCCTGCGCCATTCTCATTTTTTTAGCGCCAATGGCGCAAAATCGCGTCCTCGGCAGATCTCTGCAAACCTTTTTAGCACCATCATCTAGAGAATTTTTCAAGGCTGCAGTATCCCATTTGTCTATCTTTACAGGCTTTTCCTCAATGGTTTTCCACTGAAACGATATCAATTTTCACTGAAACGATACTAATTTTCACTATTCACAGATGTGTTATCAATTTTCACTCACACATTTTTTCCACTGAAAGTCAAACAGTATCAGTTTTCATTGTCCACACAATTTTCCATACATTTTAGTCACTCACTTGTCGGTCTTCCCCCCTCCTCTCCAGACAAATTCACACAGATTAGAAAGGTCTTTATCATTTGCTTTCTCATGTTTTGCATATACAGTTTACTAAATTATATAAATACTTAATGTACTTAGAAAATGCAGATTTTATTTTAGCAATGTATGGATCCTGCTAAAGAAGTGTTATTAATATATTGCAAGTATGGGATAAAATGATCTTAAATGGATTTAAAAACTACAACATGATCACTAGCTTGAAACACTTGATACCCATTCTGATATAATTATTATGTTGTCCTGCACAAGACAACATACAAAAGGTACAAAACCACGAACATTCAATTATCATAAACAGTTCATTGTTGTATAACATCAATTCATATTCTTTTATGACACCAATTCAAATTATTTTATGACACCAATTCATATTATTTCATAACACCAATTCAAAGTTGTACCTAATAAATGAGTTTTCTTTCACAATATTGATACACAGTTAGATAAAACACATAGACTAAATATTTTTATATCTGACAACTTAACCGGAACCTATAATCCTTATCCCCAAACCAATTATTTAACCACCTTAGATACCATCTCCCAATCTTATATGATTAAGCTGCTGATGTAACTGCAACATGCATTTTTTCCTGTAGCCAAAGCCAATATGACCATCCTGTTAAGACAATTATTATTCAAATTCTGTGAAAAGCAATAACATTGGCTAATCTGTTTCCTGAAAGGCATGTGGTAACTACATTATATTAGTAAAATACATGCAAGACTGTGACTTAGGTCACTGCATTGTAAATGCAAACAAGACAGTACCTCAATCACATAAACATTTCTCAGTCACATAATTAATTCTCAGCCACATAATTAATTCTCAATCACATAATCATTTCTCAGTCACATAATTAATTCTCAGTCACATAATTACTTCTCAGACACATAATCATTTCTCAGTCACATAATCATTTCTCTGTCACATAATCATTTCTCAGTCACATAATTATTTCTTAGCCACATAATCATTTCTCAGTCACATAATTAATTCTCAGCCACATAATTCTCAGTCACATAATTAATTCTCAATCACATAATCATTTCTCTGTCACATAATCATTTCTCAGTCACATAATCATTTCTCAGTCACTTAATCATTTCTCAGTCACATAATTAATTCTCAGGCACATACCGGTAATTAATTCTCAGCCACAGACATTTTTTCTCAGTCATAACACTAAAATAAAACATAAACTTTACAAAAACAATCATTATTAACCTGGAAAATATATTCTGATTATTCTGATGTACATGTATAGCTGAATGAAACACCTGAAAATTATAAATACCTGAAAAACATGTCCATGATGTGATCTCACTTGTCATGAGTACAAGTTGTAATTTTAACAAGACTTTTAGCAATAATACAGCTGATAGCGTGATCAAAATGTTTACCTGAGGGCTGAGGTGCAATATGACTGTATGAAACACATGATCATGGTCACATGCACCGAAATATTATAGTACAACACATGATCATGGTCACATGCACCATAATATGATAGTACAACACATGATCATGGTCACATGCACCATAATATGATAGTACAACACATGATCATGGTCACATGCACCGAAATATTATAGTACAACACATGATCATGCAGTGATTTTTCACCTTATATAACAGAGGCCTTTAAAAGGCCTCTCTTCCAAATTGAAATTCATGCACTTAAAATTATGCATTTTTCAAAAAAATCTGAACTTCAACTAACACCAGCTTTTTTACTTCCTAAATTAGCAATTTTAGCAATAATTTTCCAAATATCTCTTCCCAATCATGTGAGAAAAATTAGCCATGGTTTCATCTTTTCACATATGATAATGTGATATTACAAAACATTGATAATGGTCTCGACCGCCTCCGTGGTCGAGGGGTTAGAGTCGATGACTTCTAATCCAGGTACCTCTCTGGCGTGGGTTCGATCCCCGGGAGATGCTTTGGTAGTTTAGCGCGGAGGAAGGTAGTCTAGTACTGGTTTAACTCTCCAGGAACGATGGCTAGGAAACTACCCGCCTATATGACTGAAATACTGTTGGAAAAAGGCGTAAAATGAAACAAACAAACAAACAAACAAAACATGATAATGGTCTCAAGCACCATAATATGACTAATGAGCTCATGCACCATATCATGATTAGGCTAAAAAGAAATTGTGTTGACCAAACCACACAAAAACTAGAACTATCACTAAATGTGATTAATACCCCCACAAGACTGCTTCAGAAATGAGGATGTTACTAGTAACAGAATACCTTGTAAAAGAATTGAAATATAGTGTTATGGTTGTGGGCAATTAAAGATAGTTGTGGTTCTTATATGTTGCATTTCCTTTCAATGTGGTTGGCCATTGATGAAGTTTAATTGAATTACTCTGTAATAAGTCCAGAAAGACAAAGAAAAGGAACAAAGGGCAATAACTCTATAAATACTGAAGATAGAGTTATAGTTCTTGTGCACTGCACTTCCTCTTATTGTGCTTGACCATTGTATGAAGTTGTTTTGAATTCCAACCAGTACCTTTTAAGTTATGCTCCTGACAAGGAAAAGTATCAAAGGGCAGTAACTCTGTATTTTGTGAAAATGGAGTTATGGCTCTTGTGCACTGCACTTCCTTTTAATGTCCTTGACAACTGTATGAAGTTGTATTGAATTCCAAACAGTAGTTTTCAAGTTATGCTCTGGACAAGGAAAAGTAACAAAGGGCAATAACTCTGTAATTAGTCAAGATGGAGTTATGGTTTTTGTGCACTGCACTTTCTCTCAGTGTGCTTGACCATTGTATGAAGTTATATTGAATTCCAACCATTAGTCTTCAAGTTATGGTCTGGACAAAAAAGGCAATGGAAAAGTAACAAAGGGCAATAACTCTGTTAAATTACTTTAGATAGAGTTATGGTTCTTGTGCACTGCACTTCCCCTTATTGTGTTTGACAATTGTATGAAGTTGTTTTGAATTCCAACCAGTAGTTTTCAAGTTATGCCCCGGAAAAGGAAAAGTAACAAAGGGCAATAACTCTGTAATTAGTCAAGATAGAGTTATGGTTCTTATGCACTGCACTTCCTCTCAATGTGCTTGACCATTGTATGTAGTTATATTGAATTTCAACCATTAGTCTTCAAGTTATGGTCCGGACAAAAAAAATCAATGGAAAAGTAACAAAGGGCAATAACTCTGTTAAATTACTTTAGATAGAGTTATGGTTCTTGTGCACTGCACTTCCCCTTTTTGTGTTTGACAATTGCATGAAGTTGTTTTGAATTCCAACCAGTTGTTTTCAAGTTATGCTCCGGACAAGGAAAAGTAACAAAGGGCAATAACTCTGTAATTAGTCAAGATAGAGTTCTACGGAAAGAGTTTTTAAAAAAGCTTTCAAGCTTACTACTCAATCCGTACTATTTATTATTTGTCAATTATCATGTAAATGTAATACTTATAAATAAAATATTGTTTAAACTAAGTTATGCTCCGGACAAGGAAAAGTAACAAAGGGCAATAACTCTGTAATTAGTCAAGATAGAGTTATGGTTCTTATGCACTGCACTTCCTCTCAATGTGCTTGACCATTGTATGTAGTTATATTGAATTCAAACCATTAGTCTTCAAGTAATGGTCCGGACAAAAAAAGCAATGAAAAAGTTTCAAAGGGCAATTACTCTGTAATTACTTTAGATAGAGTTATGGTTTTTGTGCACTGCACTTCCCCTTATTGTGTTTGACAATTGTATGAAGTTGTTTTGAATTCCAACCAGTAGTTTTCAAGTTATGCCACGGACAAGGAAAAGTAACAAAGGGCAATAACTCTGTAATTAGTCAAGATAGAGTTATGGTTCTTGTGCACTGCACTTCCTCTCAATGTGCTTGACCATTGTATGTAGTTATATTGAATTCAAACTATTAGTCTTAAAGTTATGGTCCGGACAAAAAAAAAGCAATGGAAAAGCAACAAAGGGCAATAACTCTGTAATTACTTTAGATAGAGTTATTGTTCTTGTGCACTGCATTTCCCCTTATTGTGTTTGACAATTGTATGAAGTTGTTTTGAATTCCAACCAGTAGTTTTAAAGTTATGCCCCGGACAAGGAAAAGTAACAAAGGGCAATAACTCTGTAATTAGTCAAGATAGAGTTATGGTTCTTGTGCACTGCACTTCCTCTCAATGTGCTTGACCATTGTATGTAGTTATATTGAATTCCAACCATTAGTCTTCAAGTTATGCTCCGGACAAGGAAAATGCAACGGACGTCTGGACTGACCGACCGCCCGACCAACCGACCGACCACCGGGTGACTCCTATATACCCCCCCAAACTTCGTTTTTGGGGGTTTAATAAAATCGGGTATGAAAAAAGAAATCTGACCTACCCGTACCTATTCTTATAGAGCTTATTACTCGAACAACACAACTGTTTATTGTTGTTTTTTTGGGGGGCCTAAGACTTGCATTTTTCATTCCAACAATATTTTGACTATACATATAAAGCACTAATGCGATTACAAACAGTCTACAAAATGTGCTGATGAACCCTGTGAAAATGTTTTAATAAAGCTATAAGGAATATAATGGCATGCAAAATTATGTTATATAATAACATATGTATGACCCATTTCCTTAAAAAATACCCCATTTTCAGATCCAGAATCTTTTTCCTGCAATGAGTAATATGTTACACAACACTGGTATACATGTACATTCATAATTGTACATGTACTTTACATGTGATTGACATGAACTTTTCATGTAATAAAATAAAATGCATTTAGTGATAATGAACATTCTAAAATTATATTTGTGTACTGAAATCTCCTTATACATGTATTCAATTGATAATTATTTCTATACAAATGTACACATGTACTGGTACCTGAAAAACAAATTAATCAAGATGCACATATCATTTAATTAAGTACATGCATATGGTAATTACTACAGGGGTAATAAACCATTTATCCATTTCAGCATTGTATCATTAAACAATGATAATTTAAGCACAATGTGAAATAACAACAAGAGCTTTCAGGGTAATACAGCGTGCTCGACTATTCTCAGTGCTAGATAATAAAACTAAGAGCCTGGATAATTAAGATTGATAAGTTTAAAAAAGGGCCATAATGCTGTCAAAATCCATGTTAGAGTTATGGGCCTTGGAAAGAGACTTCCTATTATGCTCTCATATAAGTGTATGAAAATTCTTCCCATTCCCTTTGGCAGTGTAAGAAATTCAGATTTAAATCAAAACTAGGCTTTGTCGGACTACCAGATTGGAAATATTCACTAGCCCAAAAGACATTTCACTAGCACGACTTATTTGTTCAAAAACAGTTGTTTTATATATTGCCTCTGAAAATAAGTAGCCTGGTCGGGCTTGTTACTGTGGAAAGTTGGTAGCCCGAGGAGAAATTTAGTAGTCAGGGGCTATCGGACTACTGCTAATTTCGAAACACTGCTTTGGTAGTTTTGGAGATACCACATTGTAGGCAAACATTTAACTGACGTCATTGTATCATTAATATTCATTTTTAATATACATTTCATTATTACATAATGGATCTACATGTAGTAAAGTGTACAGTAAAAAAATTCTAGTTTCCCCAGAACAACAAAGAACATGTACAACATTTATTGCTTATAACTTAGTTTTTGTGTTTTTTTCTTTTTGTATATATCTTTTTCAAGCAAGAAAGTTCAGGTCAACAAATTACCAAGTGTTTTCTTTTCACTTTTGGGTGGTAATGCCCATTAAAAGGGAAAAATTTTGCGTTTTTGGCAGGGGATTATAAATAGGAATCATTGAATTTATTACCTGAGAAAACAGTCCATTTCATGTTAAATTCATAATATCATATATACATGTAGTAATCATTACATGTATTTGAAAACACCAGTCCTATTTCAAACTACAAAGAATTGTTGCTCCCTTTAGATACCAGTACTAGAATGAATCTTTTGGAGAAATAAATTTTTACATATTTCAAAAACTGGTGGAGTGGAATTTCAGAATCAGGGGAAGTATATACATTGATTGTACTTTCAAACCTCAAGTCCAACTTTGATTAAAAAAAAAAACAACCAATAATTACTGTACTACAGGAGGTTTACATTCAGTCTCTTAGTTTGCTATTTTATTATATTATGATATTCAATTGACTTCAATTTTTATTTTCTAACTACATGTATTAGGAATAACATGGGGCATGGCCAAATAAAAATTGATAGTTCAATCTTTTAAACAGAGGTTTACATTTTCCAATCACCGGTATCTGAAGCCCAAAACTAACCTGTTTGTGTATTAGATTCCTCTACAAATAAGTAAACAAAGTTTAGGTTATAATATCAAAAATATAAATAATAATTTTTTCACAATCTTATTGTCATGGAACACTTTACATACATTATGCCCACCAAAAAAAATGGGTGGTTCAAGGGAATTGTTTTGCTTAAAAATATGGATGAGTTAAGTGTTTTTGAGCCCGACATTTTTGGTAATTAGGTTTTGGTAAGTAAATTTGCATTAATCATATAAGTACATAACATGCCATAAATCCCCTGAAATTAAAGAGATGTCCCTTGTTGATGATTAGACCTAAAATCAGCATTTGTTGACAAGATTTAATTTCACACCTCTCTCTTTCTAAATGAACTGATCTGGACACAAGTGATTGAACAGGCGGCTGAGATCGTTAAGTGTGCTAGAAGTGTCAATCATCATTAAATTTATGGGTGGTCTTTTATCAAGACTTCAAAAACTTTGCCGACTTGGCCAGGCTACATTGAAAAACTGCTAGGTAAATGTAGGCGGGATCTTTTAATGCAGACAGTTGTTGTTGACGCCCAGCAAGCAGCAGGGTGTAAACAATCTTAATTTGACAGAGAAAAGTCACACATAATTATCCAATCAGTGTCTTTTGTATCCCACAGTTCTTGGGTATTACTAAACTGTCTAGGGAAAAATCTATCTGATATAAACTTATATTAGAATATTTAACATGCAAATATAAATTGCATAAAAGTAGAATAGTTCTTGCTGCAAATTAAAGTTTCAAATTTCTATTTTTATGCTGAAAAACTTCCCTGGGACACCTCTGGAATGGTCGGCTGGATTTATGTGACAGATTTAGGAATTTAGCAGTCATTGAATTTAAAGATTTTGAATTTACGGCCTGAATTCCAGTTTTGAATATATTCTAAACTACTATATATTTAACTAAATTTTTCCCCTTAAAATTTACACTGGCCTGAACTCATTTTCACTGGCCTTGGACCACACAGGCCAGTGCTAAATTTGATGACTGTTTAGTTTTACTTGTCTTATAATGTAAGTATAAAACTATAACTGATATTAATTAATACAAGAAATCAGTCAGTCTTCTCTTATAGAAAGATTATTATGATTATAAAACCATAATATATGAAGCATAGTAATCAATAAGCTAAAGAGATTTCAATGAAATAGGTTTTAGAGTACTGCTAGACCTGTTTCGCACAATGTCAAAATAAAAGGCGATATATTTCATTTTATTACATAAGTTATGGAAGCCAGAACTAAGTGATCAATGTTTGAAAAAATTCGCATGACAGTTGACACAAGACAATGTTTTTTTGCAGAATAAATCTCCTGGATTTTTAGACCCCAATGTATATTTCAGAAGTAAAACTTGTATATAATATACTAAGAAAACGGAATAAATCTTAATTTTATCTTATATATCTATACTGTATAAGTATACACCTGTTTTTAGACCCCAGTATGCATGATATGCTACATATGGAAATATTTTTTCCAGAGGAAAGGAATTGACACCACAATGTACGGACAAATTTTTTGTTGCGAAAAAAATATCATGATTTTTGAATACAGTGAAAGTGAGATGCAAGTGACAGGGGTTTGGAAGAAATAACGGAATTATTAATTACCTTCCCCATTTCTTGAAGTTTTGATTTCAAACGCGGAAGTACACGTCGACTCAAGAATAGTCTCCCTTGACCGGGCGA